GGGCGATCCTTTTTGGGAGAGGTAGGGGCGTCCTTCGGCGGAGCCCCTGCTTTGGCCACGCAAACACCCCGTTGCGCCCCGACACCCACCCCCAGGGACGTAGGTGGGAGACCGGGGTGGAGGGGAGCTCAGCACCCATCCGGATCTCCCCCGAGCCCGGCCAGGATGGAGTCTGGGCTCCGATGCGCCTCCGGCCGCGCTTGGGGGTCGATCCAGACCCAGGAAGAGGCTGCGAGGGAGCCCTGGAGGGAGGGGTGTGTGTGTGTGTGTGCTTCCTTCCCTCCCAACCCTCACTGGGATCTTGGTGGCCCTTTCAAGATCTTATCTCTCTCTCTGATTAATTTCTTTCTTTTTTAAAAGTATAGTCCTGGACTATATGAGTAAATTTACATTGTGTGTTTCCCACCCACCGTTGCCTGGCCCTCTCGGGGATCGAACTGGGACCTTCTGCATTTAACTGAGGGGGGGGACCTCTTGGCAGGTCCCCTGGTGTCTTTCAGAAAGGGCCAGAGGCAGGGAGGAGGGGAGGGGAGTTCGGGGGGGGGGGAACCTCTTGGCAGGTCCCTTGGTGTCTTTCAGAAAGGGCCAGAGGCGGGGAGGAGGGGGGGCGAAGTCCCCTTGGGGACTACAAATCCCATACCCCTCTGGCGAGTCTGGCTCCTGGGGATTCTGGGGCTTGTAGTCCAAAAGCAAACATTGCACATGGCGACGATGTCCAAGCCTGCCAGCTGTTGTGGCCCGTCCCTTAAAATGCCAAGGAAGGCCATCCTCTCTCTCTAGGACTGCAAGCAGAAGGCTGGTTTCAGTCAAGTACTGCTGTGGATGATGGCCTGGGAAACCCAAAGCAGGCGTGAGACTCTCTAGGCAGTTCCTCTGAGCATGCACAGAGTGACTCTCTCTCTCTCCACCCCTGTCTGTGTCACCACATAGAGAAGTGGCCCTGGCTTCTTCGAGACTTTAGCCAGCCTTCCCCATTCTCTCCCACTCTTCCACATTCTTTAAAATGGGAAGGCTATAAAAGCAACCCTATTTTCTTGCTCTTTATATTGACTTGGCAAAGCAAGCTGAATTTCCAAGTACAGTACAATTACATATGCTCCCAGTTATGTCCTTTTTTTTTCAACACCTACGAGTCACTACTTAAGACAGGAAAAAAAAAACCACTTTTCATCTTAGGTTTTGGACGAGTTGGTTGTTTGCCATTTTCCCCAATGCTTGACCTACAGTGACTCATGACGTTTGAAAAGATACACCTAGAAACACAATCTGTTATTAAGATTTTAAAAAAAATAAACAAGTAGTTATATTAAAAATAAACTCTAAACTGAAACCAAAGCTGTTTAAAAGCAAAACAGGAGAAAAGCCCACCATCCCCAGCAGTTAGTGAGTGTCTTGTTTATTCGTTTTCATTGACACCTTGCCTTGTTGCAATTCACAAGATAACCTCTGCTTCGGAAAGTATAGAAAATAAGTATAAAAGCAACCAATTAGCACTAGAACGTAACCAGTTTAAAATCATCTAGTCAGCCGCAGGGACACACATTCATCAGGGCCCTTCAAGGATAACCAAAGATATCTGGGCCGGCCCTACGCTTAGGCAGCATGTCTGACTGCTTCGGATGCCAAATATTAACCGCAACTGTTCGTCCAGCCCGCTGCTGTACATGAATTAAGGAAATAGCATCTTCTCATCTTTGATCTCGGGTGGTGAAATATTTAGGGTGGGGTGGGGGGCCCTCAAGATGGCCCAGCAGGATCTGTAATCAAATACGGATTTGAACTCGGGTCTCCTAGCCCAGTGCTCTCGCATGGCGTCCCATTACAACGAAAACAGGCAAAAAGGTGTGCAGCCAGCAAGAAGATATTGCAACTTAGTGCTGCCATCTAGAGGCCAAAAAATATATAAAATCCCCTGACCAATTTTAAAAAAAAACTTTAAAGGAACACTGGAACTTTTTAAAAGGAATTTTTCATTGGCTGTGAGTTCGTACAAAAACAGACACAGAGCTTGCTAGTTAGTTAATTAAACTGTTAATGCTTTTCTATGGCAGGTACAGTTCTCCTAGAAGAGGAGCAGGAAACGAGTTTGCTCAACAACTCTACTCCTGCAAGATTATCCCGGTTCTAATGCTAGGTATTTCAGAGTGCTTTTGTCTTGAATGAGCAATTAGAACCCCTTAGCTTCACAAAAGACCTGTTCCTGGGTCCTAGACAACAAGGTATAGTAATAGTGTGTTGATCTAGTTGACCTTAGTCCAACTTGTGTTGACCTTTTTGCTTGTGGTTTTTACACTGTGGGTTATGCCCCGAAATTTGGAGAATGGGGTGCAGTCTCAAAGATAAGTTGTGTGTTTTTTTCCAGTTTGCATATTATTTCAGAATATAAGAATCCAGGCAGTGTGCTTTAAAACAAAACCTATACTAGAGCGTGCTGGCAGTCTAGACCAGAGACAAAAATAATCTAAATTAAAAATATACCTGCCTTATCTGCCAGTGAGAATCAAATCAATTTGCTTAAAAATACAGACGGAGGGGGGGGAATCCACAGGACCGGAGATTTCTATTCTTTCTTAAATCAAAGTTAAACTCTCCCTCCTTCCTTCAGCCTAAATTTAGTTCATCTCTAGCTGAGACCTGTAGATGGTGCTGAAGCACAAGAGCTAGCTGGGCCAAAGATCCATGCAAGCGCACGGCTGCCAGAAAAGGGGCGTCAAGCCAGAAGCCTGGGATTTCCATTCGCAGGGCCAAAAAACTTGCCTGTACATCTAGCTGTCTGCAAGATGCCGACACACAACACAGCAGCATCCAGGCTTTTGACTTAATGGGTCTCCAAACTTTCATCCTCGTCCTGGAGGGACTGATTCAAACGGCTGGGGTCATCATTTCTCTCGCATTCAGATATCCAGAACATTTAGAAATAAAATACAGAATAACAATCGGGATACAAACTACAGAGTATAAGCCTGTAAAGGTCTACTCAGAAAAGCAAGACCCACTGAGTTTCAGGGGGCAGACCCTGAAGACCAATGTGTTAGACCCGGAATCAGATTTCCGTTCTTCCTTCCAGAGTCACATCGGCTCAAAGTGTGTGTTGCAAAAACCCCATCATTAGAGATGATATTAAAATAGAGCAGTTGTATACCTTGGTTCAATCATCCATCCAAAAGGAACCGGCGGTCAAGAAATCAGAAGAAGGCTGAGACTCGGAAGGGCAGCCAGGACAGAACTAGACAAGATCATCAAGTGTCAGGATGTGTCATGGGGGAACCAAGATCAAGATCATCCAAGCTCCTGTATTTCTGATCATCATGCACGTGTGTGGAAGCCGGACCGTTAAGAAAGCTGATTGGGTGGGGGGGGAGAATGATCCATTTGAAATGTGGTGTTGAAGGAAAACTTTGCCACAAAGGCGAACAAGTGGGTCCTAGATCAAATCAAGCCTGAGCTATCTCTGGAATCAGAGATGTTGAAACCGAGGCTCGAAATCAGAGAAAGGCGAACAAGTGGGTCCTAGTGTCTGGAAAATACAATAATGCTGGGAAAGGTGAAAAGCAGCAGGAAAAGAGGAGGACTAAATACGAGATGGACTGGTTCCCTAAAGGAACCACAGGCTTGAGTTTGTAAATGATGAGCAGGGCTGTTGAGGACAGGGTATTTTGGAGGTCACTCATTCATGGAGTTCACCAGAAATCCATTGTGATGATGGCCCATAACAAGAAAAGAGATTTTAAAAACATGTTTCATGTTCCTGAGACATGACTCAAGATGCTTCCGATGAATCAGAGTTGCAGACGAAGCCAACGCCAGCTGTTTCGCTCCCAAGGCTAATTACAAAAGAAAGTCGTTTACTCGGTAAACTGAAGCGAGGGGAGGAGGAAAGCTCCCACTGGGACAATCAGACACATTCCCAATTCCCAGAAAAGAATGTGGCACTAGGACCAAAATTTTTAAAAAAATCAAACCTCTGTTAAAGGTTTACTGGCTTATCTTAAAAGAGTGCCCACTCCAGGAGCAATAACCCAAATTAGAAACTTTTAAAATAAAACGTATGCATCCTTTTTTTTTCCAGAATGCCGCTAAACATTTATAAATATTTGTAAATAAATAAGTATATAAATAAATAATTACCACGAGGGCAGTCGTAATATAATGAGGGGTTTCTTAGGGTCAAGGTTATTTCCAGTGTTACTGGCTCTTGTTAAAATACTGGGGCTTGCAAATCTCTTGCGAATGAAATGGAGATTCATCCATCTGTCCTGATTTGCCTTCTGTCTGCATTGCCCTAAACATATTCATGTTAAATGGAAGTAAAAGGAGACAGAACGACAAAAAGAAAGAGAGAGAGAGAGTTTCATTTCACCCAGGGCTGATAATCAGCAAATACAGACTATTTCTGATAAAATATTTCTATCTTTCTTGCATGTTTCTGTTGCATTAGAATGTAGTACATATACATAGGAATGTTTCTGGCCTCTTACAGGCCCTTAGGAATCTTTAAAATCGGCCCATTTAAAAGAGAGGCGGAGGCAGAGAGCAGACACTTGATATCTTCATTGTATACTTCATTCTAAGGTGGTTTTTTATCCCTCATTTAACCCATAGCAGAGTTCCAAAATTCTGTGACATCCTCCATACGTCTGGCTGGATTCTTAAGTCTCTCTCTTTTTTTTAGGAGGAGGAGTTTTCTCTCCTTTATATATTTTTCCACCCCTAATAAATCCCCCCCCATTTAAAAATAAAAGGAGAGTAAAGGACACCCTGTTCTTCCCCCCCTCTCCAAATTCTTCGGCTTTGGCCATCTGAAGGCTGGACTGCCAGAAACCTTTGGCCCA